CCAGCCACCTGCCTTCACCTGCTCCTCCACCGCTACACTCACCTTCCTCCTCCGCCGCCGCCTCCGCCGCTGCTGCTGCTGCTGAGGCCTTGCCTCCCAAGCCCTCCCGCCTGCCCTCGCCCCTCCCGCTCCCGCTTCCCTCCCTCCCGCCGCTCACCTACCTGCTGCCCCGCCGCTGGACGGACACCGTGGGAGCAGCCGCGTCAGCCGCTGCCGCCAGCCTCCGCCTGCACCCCTCCTCCTCCTCCTCCACCTCCTCCACCCTCCTCCGCCCTTCCACCACCTCCGCCACCTCCGCCACCTCCTCACGCCGGCGCCTCACATTCAGCGTCACCCTACTCAGCTCCAGCACCCCTCCCTCGTCCTCCTCCTCCCAGCCGCACCCAACCCCCCGCCCCCCACCCTCCCCGCCATGCCACCTCCTGGAGCTGCCCAACGAGCTGCTGCTGCTCATCACCCTTGCCTGCGTCACCCCGGGGGGCGCACCGGGCGGGAGCGACCTGGCGGCGGCGCTACGGGGCAGCGGAGGGGTTGCGGGTACGACAGCAGCCGGCGGCAGGGGCTACTACTACAGCCCGGGTCGCGGAGGAGTGGGGGGAGTGGGAGGTGGGCTGGGCGGGGGTCACAGCCCTCGAGGTGTGGGAGGTGTGGGTGGTGGTGTGGGTGCGGTAGCTCCTGGCAGTCCGCCGGGTTGGAGCTTCGCACTGATCGCGAGTCCCACCCCCCGGCGCGGCAGTGCGCTGGGGCGGGCGGCGAGGGAGGTGCTGCAGCGGGTCAGCGGCGGGGGCGGGGGCGGCAGCAGCGGTGGTGGGAGTGGTGGGAGTGGTGGGGGTGAGGGAGGGGATGCGGGGCTGGCGGGGTTGCGGGCGGTGGCGTGTGCTGCCATGACGTGTCGGCGGCTGCGGGGGGCGTACCGGCTGCTGCTGGCGGCGCGACCTGACCTGGAACTGCAGGTGGGGAGGGGGGGAGGGGCGGGAAGGGGGTGGGGGCGCATGGGAGAGCTAGTACGTTTGGGCGCGGATAAGAAGTTAAGAACACACGGGTCGAGAGCAAAGCATGCGCCGCTGCAATCTTACACACGGCAAGCTAGTATGATTTGTGCGTATCCTTGACTGAGGCTGCTGTCAAAAGGCACCGGGAGCACTCTAAGCTTTCACTTTGCTTCTTAGCTAATGCCGCTCTGTTCATTAGCTTGTTGCGGCTCCTCGTTCGCACGTGCGACCATCGTTAGCCCTCCTCTTCTTACATCCTCCCCGCCTCTCTCCCCGCCTCCAGGCCGAGGCTGCGCTGCGCTCGCTGCACGAGAAGCGCCGCCTGGTGCGCCGCCTCACCATCACACAACACGACGCGTACGTGGCTAGAGGTGAGACCGGGGGCGGTGGCTGACCCGTGGGTCAGCTGGCTGGACGGCTGATTTTGGAGAGCCTTTGATTATGATGAACGCGCAAGCTGCAGCGGCTGTCCCTTGTTAAACCCTTTTCGTCAACGACTTAACCGGCTGCTAACGCATCCCCCGCTTGCTGCCACTACTCATCCGGTAAGCGCAACCAACATTCGCATCGCAACCCCTTGCAACCTGTTTCCTTTATTACATGCAACTCGTCCTACCCCATCCCATTAACCCTCTCACCCGTCCTCCCTCGCCCCTCCCCTCCCCTGCCGCATGCAGAGCTGGCTGCTGAGGGCGCTGCTGGTGTTGCTGTTGCCGCAGTCCTGGCGCTGCTGTGCGGCGCATTCGGCGCCTGCACCGCGGGCGGCGGCGGGGTGGCCCCCCAGCTGCTGACCAACTACGCGGTGTTCACGGCGGTGCACGTGCTCCTGCACACCGCCATACTGGCGGCGGCGTACAGGTGGGAACTGGGCGGGAGTGAGCAGGCACTGGGTCGTTTGAGAACGGCTGCTGAATACTGCTGTAGTAAGCTGCAGCGTATGGATCATCAACTCCGAACTCCGCCCTCATGACCCAGTTCATTGTTTGTTAACCCGCTGTTCACTACCTCTCTCCCCCAACCCCCCACACCGCCCAGGGCCTCCGCCTGGCTGGGCACTCGTCGCTCCCTGGCTGCCGGGCTGGCCGGGCTGGCCACCCACTACCTGCTGCTCGTGCCCGCGGCACAGGTGCGGGGCAGCACCTCCCACACCTCCCGCCTCCATCCTCGTGCGTCATGCCGGCCGTTTGACTGCTTACCAGGTTATCCGTTGGTGACTTGTATGGGTGACAATGCAGCTCATTCTGTCCCATATCGGAACAACCCATCCCCACTCCTCACCTCCCCGCCTCACCCTCACTCCCCCCCCCTCCAGCTGCTCTTCTCGCTGCCCCCCGTGCCGCCGCACCTCAACCTGGAGCCCTGGCAGCGCCGACCCACCGACCCGCCGCCGCTCTACCCGCTCGCCGCGCTGCTCTGGCCGTTGTACGGCGACGGGCTGCACTGGCGCCTCATCCACCTGCTGTCCAACGGCTTCGCGTGGGCGTACGGCGCGTACGAGTGGCACCACTCGTTCAGCCGAGTGAGGCTGCGAAATGGGTTGAGGTACTAGGTGGGCTAGGGGGTGCACATGGAGGAGCTAGGGGGTGCACATGGAGGTGATGGAGGAGGTGGGCGGGAGACGGGTGGTGGGAGACGGGAGGGTGGGCAGCAGTCCGTACCGTTATGTAGGAGTGGTGGTGATGGTGTGAGGTCAAGTACAGGGTAGTGTTAGGTATGTATGCTTATGAGGGTGTGTGGGCGTTTTCCGCTGCCCTTAAAAGAAGGGAAACACTGGTCGACCGGAACCCTGTGACGGTGTTGGATTGGATTGGAAGGAAGGAGGGGAATAAACTGGTACGGATCAGCTGTCTGGTGGTGCTGGCGCATGTAGTCAAGCGCATGTGCGGCTGTTTAGGAGCTGTGTTTAGGCGCATTAGTTGTGTGTCCTACGCGTCCGGCGCAGCTGCTATTCGGGGTTAAGGGTGTGCGGCGCACCCCCCGCACACACACACCCTCCAGTCTAAACATAGATGCTGTGTGCGGTGCTGCGAGCGGGTTCGGCCATACGGCAGTGTTGGTATTACATGTTTGGTGCGTGTGTGTGGGGGGGGGGGGAGCTGTTGGCGGCGGCACTGCATGAACAGTAATGCGGCCGGCGAGCTGTGATGGTACGGGTGCATAGGCAGCATTGGGCTCGTTTGGCTCGCAACCTGTGTCTCGAAGATAGCTCAGTCTGGGTCAAGATAGCCTGCATCTGTATTGGTTTGCTAAGATGCCATGCGACATGCTTCTCTGTCTGTCTGTCTGGCTGGCTGCCTCAGCAGCAGGTGGCCTGTCGTCGTCAGGTAAGGTGGCGCGGAGACGAGGGGGCCGTTGGCGAGCGGAGCTACGAGGTCAGAGCTTGTTCGCAGTTCCGTGTTTCCCTGCATCAAGCGGGGGTGAGCAACAGCGGGCGCTGTGGCGAGGGAAGGTTCGGGCAAGGTTCGTAGTGGCAGGCCTGGCAGTAGGCTCTGAAGAGTGCTGCATGTAGGTGCATCACGCTTAGGTGTATCAAAAGTATCATGCTGTTCCGGAGGCCAGGCGTAACGGCCTTCCTCAAGGCACTCCTCAAGGCATGAGGCGCACGCAGGCATGCGAAGGGTTGCTAACCCCGCACGCCTGCGTGTGAGCCCGCTTGTGACGGTGTGCGGCTGCGCTGTGGGCTGATGAGTTATTGCTGGAGGGGTTGGAGGTGGCAGGAGAGGGAGGCCAGAGGTATATCAATACCGTAGATTAGGGCAAAGCAATGGGAATGGCGGGCGGCAAGTTGTCACAAAAGGAAAGAGGGTAAGGGCGGGGGACATGGGTTGCAGCAAGGTACCGGTAAGCCATGCAGGAGGAGTAGTGGTTGGTGCTGGTGTCAAGGATTATGTGTGGGGATGTGGGCGGTTTGCGCTCCCGTTGGTTAGTGTGTTTAGGCTGCAGTAGGGTCAACCGGACAAAGCGGAATTACACCGTTGTGCAGACATGTAGTGTAGCATGTATGGGCGAGTGGATCTACCCAATCCGCATCCCTGCCATTCGCTAACTTCCCTGATGGATTGAAGCCGTGTCACCGTAGGGAAGGGTGCGGACTTCCTCATCGTTAAATTGGTTACCCTTACGTTCGTGTTAGGGATCCTGTAGGCTTTCTCCCCGCTGCTTCTTAGTGTTGAGGATGTTCCCGAAGCGTTATGGTTAGCAGCATTATGCGGCGCTGGGACCAGAAGCTTGGATGTACGGCATAGTTTTTCTTGGATGCCTCGAAGCCAAAGTCCTCAGCACGTCCGAGCATAGCCATTCCATTAACTGGCATTACCTTCCAGCAATCCATCCTCGACTCCGTAGCCCTAAGAATGTCCCAGCAAGACGCAGCGGCGTTGGAGGAGGTCTACGGCCCCAGCATCTGGGAGGCCGCGGTGAGACTGCTGTCATGCGCGCAAACATTCCAAACATGAAATGCTCCGCTTTGTATCAAACTTGAAGTATACTTGTCTTGTATTAAACACAACCTGGGCGAGTGGGTTTGGGTGAAGTCCGCGGCTCTCGGACGGACCCACGGGACACTCAAAGCAGCTGCTGTGTCACGTGAACTGCTGTGCCCACCTGCCCACCACTCACGCCCATGCGCAGGCCCACGCCAAGGTCCCCGCCACCGCCTGGGAGTTCCACATCCGTCGGCAGCTCAACGACGCCGCTTACAACCACCTGGAGTGAGTGTCGGTGCCAGCAGCAGCAGCGGGTCCGTGGGTCACATCGCCGCCGAGGGTCTGCTGTTGTGGCGCCAGTCAAGGAGGAGGTGCTGATAGCCCTACCCCTGGCTGCTCGGAAGCAGGACCTGAAGCTGAGGGCATGTGCATTTGCGTGGGGCTGAACTGCATGACCACCAGACCCTGGAATGCTGGTTATGTGGCTGCAGGTACGTGCCGTACTGCTCCACCATGCCAGTGCCCAAGCAGTGCGAGGAGCCCAAGTTCATGTGGGTAAGTGCTAACCGTAACAGCCGGCATACACCTAACAACACAGGTTCGGGTGGCAATCGGTATGCATGTGTCTATGTCCCCGACGAATCTGGTCGGCCGGGCGGTTGCGTGCTGTGCGCCGGAAGGGCTACATATCGTACAATTGAACTGCTGCATGCATCACTACGCATCCGCCCTCCCCTCCACGATGTCCCGACAACTGCCGTACCGCCCTCGCTGCCATGATGCACCAAACCACCTGCAAGCTTGCCTGTAACCACACCACTGACCCAACTACGCACATCTCATAGTGTCAGATTGCCCCCTCGTAACCCACACTCGCTGTGCTCCCGCAGAAGCGCAAGGAGCGCCACTAGGGGTCGACATCAGGACAACGAGTCGGCCTCGCTTCCGCACCATGCAACCGGCACCTCTCCACATTTGAGTCAACAAGTCCACTCCTTAACTCTCCCGAGTAGGCGCATGCCTCTCCATTCGCCGCAACCAACCACAGCTTTTGCATCTGACAGGAAGTGGAAAGCTTGACGACAGCTTGGGTTAGCGGACAGACGTGTAGTTGGTGTGTTGGAGCGTAGGTGACACCGCGACTGGGCCTCCAGCAGCGCAGCGTCCCGCCTCCTGGCTTCCTTGGGACCCCGGACAGGTCTGGAAAGGCTGCAAGTACGGCTCCTCTCCAATGCTGTTGGGCTCCTCCGTGAGATGAACTGTAACAGAAAGCGAGTCATGGTCCAAACCTCGACCTAGTCCTGGGGTGGTCGGAAAATGAGAGGGGTTGTTACACCGTTGTCAGGCAAGGGGAATCTGACACGACAAGGATCGCACACGGGCGAGCTATGATGTGGCGACATGGGACGCGAAAGTGGGCACATGCATTCCAACATACACAGGAGTGCAACTACAGTAGCATGCTCCTGACGCGCCAAGCATCCCAGCACCCCCACCTCCGCTCACCCCTCATGTACGAGCTGCTCCTTCTAGGCTCCAGAAGGCCGCCAAAAGCGGCTGCAATCGGCTCAAGCAGCGACTCCGTCTTCCGCCTTCACTACCGAACGCTGCGCCAACATCCCCAACCAGATCTGCAGCTGCACCGCCTGCAGCCCTTCACTCTCCTCCTCCCACTCTTTCCACCTCACTTCCTTCCCCGCCTTGCCGCCAGCCGCCCGCCGCCGCCCTCACCAGGGCACCTCCCCTGCCGCCTCCGCCTCCCGCCTCCGCACCTCCTCCCGCAGCCGCTTGCGAGCCACCCGGCTGCCCTTCATGTGCGGACGGCTCAGCGGGCGCTGCCGGGCCGCCTCCCGCTCCTGAGGGTTGACGGGCAGCGACGACGAGGGCGGCTGCTGCCACTGCTGCTGCTGCGGCAGCTGAGGCGCCGCCCCAGGAGCAGCATGCGGCCGCGCGGTAGCAGCCGGGGGCAGCAGGGAGGTGGTGTCGTATAAGAGCAGGTCTGTTCGGTCGAGCTGCCGCAGCAGGGCGGCGGGCGGCTGGGGACCGGCGCGGGAAAGCAGGTAGTCGGGCAGGGACTGCAGGAGGAGGGGGAGAAGGAGGAAGGGGAGGGGAGGGGTCAGGAGGGGTACGTGTACGGCAGCAGCAGAGGCCAGGTAAGGCAGCGGGGAGTGCCTTAACGCACGGTGAGGCGAAGCGATGGAAGGGAAGATCACTCGCCGCCAGCAGCCTAAGATAAAACCCCGTCCAGCCCTAAAGCCCCCCCTCCCCCACCCCCTCCCACCATGCCTCCCGCCAGGCACCGCAGCGCCCACTCGCCCTCCGGGTCGCGCTCCAGGGGCGGCAGGTAGGTCACGGGGCGGGGGTGCGGCGCGGTGAGGTGCGGCGGCAGCGGCCAGCCGGTCAGTCGCCGCACCGCCTCCATGAGGCGCACGGGGGAGAGCGCCGGCAGCTCCAACAGCGGCTTGCCGGCCTTGCGGGCGGCGTTGGAGATCTGGCGAGAAGTGGGTGTGAGAGGTGGGCGGGCAGGGGAGGAGGAGGGAGGGAGAGGGGGTGTGGAAATGCAGCCGGAAGGTCAGATGGGAAGCAGGAGGACGACAGGGTCGTAGATCAGCTGCGACCCCGCATCAGTACCATGATGGGGGCTCCCCGCTCAGTGCCGGTGTCACCCGGCACGCCCATGCCCCTGTCGCGCTCCTAACATATCGCACGCTTCGCACCCCAGACACCACCACCACCACCACCTCCCCCGCCGGCCCCTCACCTCCCCCAGCAGCAGCGCCCGGCCGGTTCTCTTGGTGCGGCATGCCAGCACTGCGTCCGTCTGCTCCACCCCTGCCGCCACCAGCACCCGCCCCAGCGCCCCCGCCGCCTGCAGCGCCCGGTACAACCGCACGTCGTCCAGGCCGTAGCAGAACACCCGCAGCGGGGGCGGGAAGGGGTGCGGACGCAGCAGCGGAGGAGGTTCGAGCGGTGAGCTGGGGGTGGGGCTGCTGGGAGGAGGAGGAGGAGGGTTCCGGGGGGCTGGCGGGGGGGGGAGCGGGAGGACACGTAGGGCGGGAGAAGGGGGTTGGGAAGGGGGCCCGGAAGGTTGGGTGTGAAGTGCAGGTGGTGGGCTCCACACACAGACGCACCATGAGTTCATGACTACCATCCTTCCTAGCGTACAGTCCGGGTGGGCTGCTGGCACTCAGCAGGCAAACAGGAGCACAAGGGACCTACGGGCAGCTACAGGCCAGGGCTTGAGTCTGGAGTTAAACAGGTGGGTCGCACGAAAAATGTGCCCAACAGACCCCTGTTCCACCCATGCAAGTCATCACACATCCCTGTCTGCCTGCTCGCAGCCATGCACGGGTGTTCTCCCCCGTCATACACACCTCTACCCACACGCCTCCACACACACACACACACACACACTTTTCATCTTCACACTTCATCTTCCGACATCCCAGTACGTTTCGCCTCGCGGCCAGTTATTTTAACACACACCCTAGGTACAAGCACCACAGCCCCCCGAAGTGCGCAGTGAAGCGCAGGGCAGCTCCTCCTTCTTGCTTTCCTGAGTCCCCTTGCTCTCAGTCAACTTCCCGACAGCCTTCTGCAACGACCCGCGGAAGTCCTGGTAGTCGCTGTGGAATATCGAGTCGAACAGCAACTGCAGGGTGTCCGCTTGCACCTTCTTCTCCAGCACCTCACGCTCAAGGATTGCGTTGACTCAACGGTTGACTCAACGCAATCCTTGAGCGTGAGGTGCTGGAGAAGAAGGTGCAAGCGGACACCCTGCAGTTGCTGTTCGACTCGATATTCCACAGCGACTACCAGGACTTCCGCGGGTCGTTGCAGAAGGCTGTCGGGAAGTTGACTGAGAGCAAGGGGACTCAGGAAAGCAAGAAGGAGGAGCTGGCCCCCGGACCGTGCTACTACCCTTCAGGGTCCTGCCGGCCCACTTCACAGGAGGGCTGAACTGCGCCAATCCCGCACCCCGTCCACCAGCTTGCATACATTACCGGCATTACTGATATACAGCAGTGCCCCTTCCCCTGTGCGCCCCTGCCCCTGCCCCCGCCCCCCCCCCTCAGGGCTTGTAAGCTAGTTTACCACTATCACACCACACATTGAATTTTCATCCCCCCCCATCGACCCGCCTCACGTGTGCGCAGCTCCCGGTGTATGCGCGCACGCTCCTCCGGCCCCAGGTAGATCTTGTCCACCGCGGTCAGCTGCGGCTTGCGCAACAGCGCCACTCGCCGACTGTAGCTCAGGGGAGGGCGACCCGCAGGGGGGTTGGACCGAGCAGCGGTGATGGTGGACCGAGCAGCGGGGAGGCCGACGTTGCTTCCGGCGGGGGAGCTGCCGCTGCCGCTGGCCGTCTCTTGGGCATTGTTGATGTCACCATGGCCGATGCGTGGTGCATCACTGCGGCTGTCGGTATGACTGGCTTGGCTGTGTCTGTAATTGTTGCTGCCCCTGCCATGGTTACTAGCAGCAGCAGCGAAAGGGTGCTGTTTGGCAGCTGTTGCCGCAGTGCCAACATTCCAATCCTTGATTCGTGTGCTGCTGCTGTGGTTGTTCGGTGCGCTGGGGGACGGAGTTGCAGAGCGGGGGGTAGGGCTACTTGGGCTGCTAGCGGCGGCAGCTACGGGAGGAGGGCCGTAGTGGGAAGCTCTTTCTGTGGGAGGAGCTGGGCGCCGAAGGAATTTGGATGGTGGTGTGGAGCTCAGGACGTTGGCGGAAGCGTGGAAAGCGTTGTTGCCATTCAGATGTGGTGTCGTTTGGCGATGAGGACCAGCGTCAGCGGCTGACAGTGTTCTTGGTCGATGGCTTCGGTTGCTAGTAGGAGAGTAAGCAGTGTAGGGTTGGCTGGTCTGGGTAGCAGAGCTCAATCTGGAACGGGCTTGGGGACGTGCTGTGGGATGGGGCTGACTGGATGGGATTGATGCTAGCGGGGCGACACTTCGATCACGAGCGACGGCGACTAGCTGCAACCCAGGAGGCCTATAATGGACAAATCGCTGGGGCTCCCGTGCCGTTCCCCAAGATGTCCTGACGCCCAACCTCGGCCGAAGACCACAAGCCGACCCAATTACAGCTGCTGCGCGTCCACGACCAGCCAGAGGAGGCCTATGGGAAACAACACGAATTTGTTCCAGCAAAGGGGCTCGAGGCCCTACTCTGCCGTGCAAGCCGTGTACGCTTGCGCTGCAAGGTGAATTGCGAAATACAAGCTTGTAGCGTTCTACTATAACATAAGGCTTAAATGGTATCATTGCAGGCTCATACACCTAAACTGTCTCTTTCCTTTCACAAGCTATGGTGCAGAGCCCACCTGCTATCCTCTACTACTCGGTAGATCTGTCAAACCAATTACCCCAATAATAGTATAAACAGTTTAAGTAATTTATATGATCGCGCAAGTCTTCTTGTTCCTCCTGCTCACGTGGACGAGCAATGCAGCACGCCGGGATTCATCTGATGCGGTCCTTGCACAGACACCAAAAACGTTTGGTAAACAGGATAAGGCCGGGCCATTGCCTAAGGATAGGTGGTTGCCCACCGAATTTAATCAGTCGCTCATTCACGAATGGCTTCTTCAGCGCTCGGTTTATAACCAAGTCGACGCGTCTGGGTCATCCGGGCGCTGGTTCCCTCTTTCCTCTCCTTGTGGAGTATGGTACTGCCATGAGGCGAAGACCATCGTCTTGACCCACGCAACGAGCGTATGGCTTTTAAAGGCCCTAGGCGGCATCTGTTCTGTAAACGGGAGGCTAAAGCACGGAAAGCGTGCGGCACCGTGCTTTGAGCCCCTGTCGCGGTTAATGGCTGTTGCAAGCGCTGGCTTTTTAGAGGTAGGACACGGAACCTGGCGAGTCGGGACAAAGTTTCCAGTTCCAATACGCAAGGGGTCGGCCCTGCTTCATACACTAGAGAGCGCTCAGGTCCCCCCTTCCGACGCTTACGGGCTACCGGCACCCATCCTCCTCCTGCTCCCAACCTGCCTCCTTCTTTCCCTCTGCTGTTCTCTCCTCAGAAGCTTTGGGCGAACGCTACCGTCATCGCGGCGGCTCCCAACCCCTACTCGCACGCCGCTCGCGCCTACCTGCACGTGGGAGGCAGCTGGAAGTCAAGCAAGGAGCGCTGCCGGCCGCTGCCCTTCAGCCACTTCGCCGCCGACCCCGCCTCGCTGCCCATCCAGGGCGGCATGTTTCGCTGCAACGTGGCCACCGATAAGGAGGAGGAGGGCAAGCAGGGCGTCACGCGGGAGATGAGGGAGGCGGGCATGCCAGGTGCGCGTCTGCAGGTTGGAATACTACCGGTAGTAACGGTACTCCACTACTGCCGGTATTCGAAAGGCATGCTGCAGAGGGAGTATGGTTTATAACTCACTTTTGCCTGACGGAATCATCCGCTGTGGCCGTACGTTACCTCAGTGCCCGGCGGTGCCGTACATGACCTGAGCCGCGTGGAGCCGGTGGCCGCCTGCCTCACCAGCGGGGAGGGCGGCTGGGCGGCGGACTACGTGGTCAGGTGAGCGCCTGCAGCGATAGGAACGGCAACACGGGTCACAACAAACGACAGCAGCGGGAGCAGTCTGGTGTGATTTTTATTTAGATGACGATACCGGTAGTTCGCTTGACCGCCTTTGCCTTGTTTCGCATTACTGGTCTGGTCCTTTGGCCATTCCCCACCCTCACGCCTTCAAGCCCGTGTCCCCGCCAGCAATTACTGGTATGCATGCACCCCCCTCTCAGCCCTGACCACTCCCAAAATCATACGTCCAACCACCTGCCTTGCACGACCCCCCCTGACAGGGCGGAGGTGCCGTACGTGCTGGAGGACCTGGAGGCCGCTGTGGCGCTGGCCACGGAGAGGCGGCGTAGCGGTGGCGGCATGGAGAGCTCAGCGCTGCAAGGGCAGCTGCTGGTTCCCAACAAGGACTTTGTGCAGCGGCATTTCGGGGATGAGCCCGACACGGAGCAGCTGGCAGCGTTGTACGAGACGTGCGGCGCGGTGTGCCGGCAGCAGGTTGAGGAGTTCTACCGGGCGGACCTGCAGCTGCTCGGCTTGGCGGTGTGAGTCGGGAGGGAGGTGTTGGAAGAGGATGGGTCGTGAGGGGTTGCCTGGGCGATTTCTTGCGTGCGCTTGGTGATTTCATGTTTTTGTGAGCTGTTGTGAGGTCCCGAGGTTACAGTGGGGTAAAGAGGAAGAACCTGACGGGGCTTCACAACGGGGTGGGATGCAGGGATGGGGTACACTGTGGTGGATGGTGCAGGACTAGAGGACTAAAGCCAATGTTGTAAGTAGTAATGATGGCCATCACAGGTTCACCGGTATGGGTATGCCTGTGTTGTGCTTAGGCTGTTCACCCACAGACCCACTGCAGATTGTGGCTACTGCCAACTAGGTGGCAACCTGGGGTTTACACTGCTTGTGCTTTCTATCATCGCATGGTTGAAAATAAGTGTGTAGTCGGTATCTCGAAGGGCTCGGAGAGGTTGCTCGCAATGAAGGGCTCGTTGTTGGATTTTGTAGCGCGACCTCTGGGACGGACGAAACCCATGGATGCGGCCCTGGGCTAATGGACGTCCTTTGCGGCCGAATGAATTGTATGTGATAAACCATAAAGGATAGTAGCTTTCTTTTACAAGGATTGTGCGCTTCCATCAAGGCTTGTCATCATGCACCAACGGTCAGCCATTCCGCGTTGGACGTCAAGCGTGATCCGAGTTCCTTTAGCCTTCTATAAAGGACATACAAATCTACAAGTCCTAAAGCGGTGCTGGGAGGCTGGCGGTTTGGCGCGTGGCTCCAGGGGAACCAAAATGGGAGCGGTGACGGGCTAACTGGCTTGCCTCTGGGACGGACGAAACCCATGGATGCTTAGTCACCTGTATAGAAAGCCTCCGTGTGCAACTTTCCATACTTTAATGCGCTCTTACCGCATATGGGACCTGTCCTCACGTTATGCAACAGTACGTTATGCAAGGACCAAGAAGCTTCTTGACGGGCCGTTATATGTATGGCATTTGTTAATCATGCGCAAACTGCCTCGCTTTGCCCACATTCGGCACACATAAGAGTAACAAGGGTTCGCAGTTAATCGTCCTTGAGTACGTTACCAAACGCTTTCCTTACAGCTAGCAGTATGTTTTCACATGACCTGAACGCTGCTGCAAAGCGGTTACTGGCTGATCAAAAGGCACGGGCAGAGCGGGAACGTCAACGACTGGAGAAGGAACGCATCTTGGCAGAGCGTCAAAAGAAGCGAGAGCAGGAGCGCGAAGAAGAAGCCAGGAGAAAACGCTTGGAGCAATTGGAGGCCGAAGAGCGGGTAAGCCGAACAAAGGCACATCGCAGGGACACGTTACACTGGAAGTTGGCGACCGGTGTTGGCGCCGTGGGACCACCACGCAAAGCCGCGGACCTGGCTCACCGATTTTCCAACATAATGGGCATGCGTTCTCCTGCTGACCCACAAACCTGCAGGCCAAGGAAGCAGTCTACGAGGAGCGCGAGCACAACCGCGGCGTCTACCTCCGTGTGGAGCTGCAGGCGCTGCCAGCAGACGAGGCAGCAATTCAGGCGAAAGGCGTGAAGCGTAGCAAAGACAAGGTAAGGTCAGGCTTTCATAGCCGAGTGCTGTCGTACAAGTTCAGGACTCTTAACAGAAATTAGTCCCGTTAATCCACACCTGCGCAGTGTGAATCTCCGCCCACGACCTGACTCCCTTCCCCCTCCTGTGCTCCCTACCTCTCCTGCCGCCCCCCGCAGCTCATCCTGCCGCCCTCCGTGGGCGCTGACCTCATGAACCAGGATGCCAGCAAGAACGGAGCCATGCTGTTCGAGCTCACCCTGCCCCGCCAACCCCCCACCACCGTATCACCAGCAACCCCCCAGCAACCAGCCGCACAACCATATGACCAGCAACCCAGCACGCCTCACTCTACCCCCGGCTCAGCTGCACGAGATACGGGCGCAGGCCCTGGACCCGGCTCCACCACCTTCCCCTCCTCCTCAGGCTCGGGCCGCACCCACGCAGGTGTGCTAGAGTTCACAGCGCCCGAGGGCACCGTACTGCTGCCACGCAAGGTCGTACAGAGCTTGTACGGCAGCCTTGACGCGCAGCCGTACGGCACCGTGGTCGTGTCGTACAGGCGGTTGGAGAAGGGCTCCTACGTTCGGCTGCAGCCCATGTGCCACGGCTTCCATGAGGCTGCTGGCGAGGGGCTGCGGGAGGCGTTGGAGGGCGAGCTGCGGGGGCACAGCACGCTGACGGAGGGGGACTGGCTGACTGTGAACCACGGAGGGAGAGAGTGGCCGCTGCGGGTGCGTGGTTGGCTGCGGGAGGGCTGGTGCACCACCTCAGCTTCCCCTCCTCTCTCGTTCCATACCGTACTTCTTCTCCTCGCAACCACTGCTGTTAGCTCGCTGACCCTTGTCCGTTTTGACCCTCGTGTCTCCCGCCTCCCGGCCGCCTTCCCCCAGGTCCAGGAGTTGCAGCCCTGCGCCGCCGTCAGCGTGTTGGATGTGGACATGGCGGCCGACGTGGTGCCCTCCCTGGAGGCGGAGGAGTACCTGCGCCGCTGGGAGGAGGAGCAGCGGCGGCAGCAGCAGCGGCTCGAGCAGCTGGCGGCGGAGCGACAGCAGCGCGTGGCGGCGGAGGCGGCAAAGGCAGCGGCACGACAAGCGGCGGCGGCGGCGGAGGCCGCCGCTGCAGCGGAGGCGCGGGAGGCGCTGCGGGAGCGTCTGGCGGCAGCGCTGCCTCAAGAGCCGGGGCCGGCGGCGGCCCGAGTGGTGACATGCGCGTTCGCGCTGCCCGACGGGTCGCGCATCACTCGGCGGTTTGAGGCGGAGAGTCGCGTGCAGGCGCTGTTTGACTTCGTGGACAGTCGGGGTGCGGGCGGCTGGGAGCGGGGCAGCTACCAGCTGGTGACCCGGATGCCGCGGAGGGTGATAGCGCCGCCGCCGGAGGCGGTGGGAGCGGGAGAGGGAGGGGAGGATGCCGGGAGGACGCTGGAGGAGGTGGGGCTAAGCGGCGGGATGGAGGCGTTCTTGTTAGAGGCGTTGCCGCCGCCGCCCGCGGCACCGCCGGCGGCGATGGAAGTAGATAGTTCGGCTGAGGGCATGGCGGCTGCGTAAGGGAGCATTGGATTAGGAGGTGGTGGCTCGGGATGAGGGTTTTTGTTGTGTGGTGATGGCGGTTGCCAGTACTGCGGATTGGGAAGACGAGCCGTGACACAGCACCGTATATTGCGGGATTGCACCGGTGGTAGGAAATGTGTGGGTCAGCTGAGAGAGGGCTATAAAGGGACCGCCTGGCTTCACGGATTGTTGCTTAGGCTAGGCGGACGCCGTGCATCACCAGCTGCACGCACGAGGGTGTGTGGCGGCTTGCTTGCGTTCGCTAGCTGTCGACCTTGACTCGATGCATGAACTTAATCCAATGCATGTGATACACTGCATGAACTTAACTCAATGCATCGCCCCCAAGAGGCATCGCCTAACTCGCAAGAGGATAGGGGTTTCAGGTGTTTGTTGTGCGCTTGCGAACCCGCCCTGCTAATGCCCGGCGCATCTCATGAGAGGCATTTACATGGACGGCGCGGTAGAGGGGGCTCCAGTGACCGTGAAACCTTGTAAATAGAGTCTAACAGACGGACTTCCTGCAGTCGGGTACGGTATTAGCAACCTGCAGTGGCTACCTCTGGCCTAGCGAGCGCCGACATCTGACAAGCCTTCAAACTGTAACCCGCCATTCCGACGCGGCATGCACTGGTCCTGTCGCTTGGAGTAATCCTAAAAGCCTTCTATACCAACGCTCTAAGTGCAGCCTGCTGCTCTACCTCGTTACGTAATACCGCTGAGGCGCTTTTCCTAACGCTAACTGCCACCTCTACCCCCTTAAGCCGCGGAGCGGCCTACCCTGCCTAAGTGTAGTCTATAGTCCACCACGGGAAACACGCGCTTGTCTGTAAACCAAACTGGCTGGCAGCCTAGCTTTGCCCAAGAGGGCATTGAAAACAGGGAACAGCCGGGGTCCTAGCTGGAATGGGTACTACCGCCTTCTACTCGAGCATCGCTTACCCTAACAAGCACTACTAGACTGACACCTTAATACGAAGGCAGCCTGCTAACCTCTCCTGCAACTACCTCAGGCGCCCTGCCCTTCATCAACGTGACTGTCGGGACGCCTCCTAAGGGTGCTGCATGTCAGGATTGCACGTCAACACCTACGTATGCACCAGGCACCTCTTGCCCAGCCTGCAAGCGGCAGCCTTGCCATGGAGGTCCACCCTGACGTTTGCACCAACAGAAACCGAAGGAACTCCTCTTCCTGCCAGCATAACAGTGCAGGGATTGAAATGCCAGGCCGCCGAACCATCCATGTGCGACGCACCATGCATTCCCGCGCGTTGCTGCGCCTTCTGCCGACACCCTGCGTATTCCTCTCCTCAAGCACCGTCAAGCACCGTCCCCACCAACAGCTCCCCGCAGCTGCACCCCAACCCGGCGGCATCACACCACATCACGTGACTGCCGTTACTCAACACGTCTGCACCCGCAGCCGCACCCCACCATGTTACAGCGCCGTTACAATGGCATCGCTGCGGCGGCAGCAGCAGCCCCCCTCCGCCGCCATGCGAGGCAGCTGTGACTCCATGTTGCGATCAGGCTGAACCACCACCTGCTGCTGCTGCTGCCGGAGCTGATGGAGGCACTGCACCGCCCCCAGCGGCGCCAAGCTGCGGTGGATGAGCTCCGTTCGCACCTCCCTCGCCACCGCCACCACCACCACCGCCTGATCCACGGCGGCCTCCCTCCATGCCACCTCGGCTGTCATGGTCGGGGCGATCCCGCCGGTCCCGGCTAAGGCTGCGACTGCGGGGCGGTGCGCTGGCCCCGCCACCTCGCCGCTCCCGGCTGCGGCTGCGCTCACGGTCCCAGTCGCGCCGCCGATCGTAGTCCCGCTCCCGTTCACGATCCCGCACGTCCCGCCGCTCCCGGCTCCGGCTGCGGCTGCGGTGGCGCCTGTCTCTACTGCGGCTGCGCTCCCGCCGGTCGCGGGGGTCCCGTGCGGTGTCGCGGGCGTCCCGGTCGCGTTCGCGTTCCCGGCTGCGGTCCCGCCACTCCCGGCCACGATCGCTGCCCTCCCGCTCCCGCCGCTCCTCTAAATGAGGGCGAGAGCGCGCGCGGTCCCGCTCATACTCCCTGTCCCTCTCCCGGTCACGGTCCCGTTCGTGGTCCCTGTCCCTGTCTCGGTCGCGGTCCCGGACGTCCCGGCGGTCCCTGTCTCGGTCGTGGTCCCTATCGCGCTCTCGTTCCCGGTCCCTGTCGCGCTCACGATCCCGTTCCCGATCTCGATCTCGGTCACGCGCATCTCGACGGTCGCGTGCATCACGGTCTCGGTCATAGTCCCTGCGTTGCATGGCAAAAGAATACGGTTAGGCCTTATGCACACCCAGAACACGTTCATGCAGCACGCACAAGCAGAAAATAAGTAAGGTTTGGCGCCCAGCGACCTCAACCACATTCTATCCCCTACCTTGCCCATGCCTCCCGGTCCCGCTCCCGACTGCGGCTGCGACTGCCACGGCGCTCCCGCCACTCCCGCCCGGCGGGCGCCCTATCGCGCTCCCGGTCGCCCCGGTCGGGTCGATCCCTCTCACGATCTCGTTCATCGTGATGCTGGGAGGCCGGGCGGACGTCCCGTGGGTCACGTTCCCTGTCGCGCGGCTCCCGGGCCTCACGCTCCCTGTCCCGTGGGTCACGACGCTCTCCACGGTAATCGGGTTCCGCGCTGCCGCGCTGTGGCAGCTGCTGCGACCCTTCACGTTGGGCCTCGCATGCGGGAGGAAGGGGCGCCGAGGGCAGCGGCGGCTGCTGGTACGGCGCTGCCGGCGCGTGCTGCTGTGCCTGGTACAGCTGGGGCTGCTGTTGCGACGGAGGCACCCCTTGCTGCGACGGTTGACGCGACAGTGGCGGCGGTTGCTGCGGCAACGGCGGCGCTTCACGCGACCTGCCACGCTCAGGCGGCGGGGGCTCCTGAGTGACAGTAGCCATCACGGGTGCTGCTGCACCGGGCGAGTGTGCTCCGTAGAAGCCGGCAGGCGGGGAGGTGGCGGGGGTCCAGCCAGCGGGAGGCGACCCGGAACCCATGAAGGAGGGGCCGCCTCTGCTGTACGGCCCTCCATCCATGACGACGTCGGGTAGGGGAGGTGGCACCGGCGGCGGCGCGGGTGGCGGGATGGGTAGCGGCGGTGGCATCGGCGGCGGAGCCGGAGGTGGAATGGCCCCCGGCAGTTGCAGCTGCTCCGGAGGCCGCTGATACGGGTGGTGTAGCTGCTGCTGGTTGAGATGTGGGTGGAATGGGTGGTGGGGTGGGTGGGGATGGGCATGGTGGGGGTGATGGTGGGGGTGCGGTTGCTGTTGGTTGGGCTGGAGGTACAGCGCTGGGGGCGGCGCTCCTGGGGGTGGCGCGGGTGGTGGGATGGGAGGAGGAACTGGCGGTGGCATGGGAGGTAGGACCGGAGGCGGCATGGGGGCTGGTACCGGTGGCTGGCCAGGAGGTGGAGCTGGCGGAGGGATAGGCGGCGGCATGGGCGGAGGGACAGGCGGCGGCACAGGTGGCCGTACCATGACAGAAGGCGGCGGAGCCGAGTGCTGCCGGTGCGCATGGGGATGCGCGGGAGGCGGCGGCGGCGCGGGCTGGTGCTGGGGTTGCGGCGAGAGAGGGCCGGAAGGCTGCCTGGGTGCATGCACCTGCAGCTGCGGTGGCGGCGGCGGCAGTACAAGCGGCGGCGGGGCGTGCCGCTGCGGCTCAGGTGCAGGGGCGGTTGCCTGCGCCCGCGGGGGTCCGTTCTGCGCTGCGGGTCCCGCAGGTGGCGGCCCTGCAGCGGGCGGCGAGGCGGTTCCGGGCCTCGGTGAGGTGGGCTGGGAGAGCGGCTGCTGCTGCTGCTGCGGCTGCTGGCCAGTGCTGCCGCCTGCAGCCGCTGCGGCAGCTTCCCGCTCCTGGCTTGGCGAGTGCGCCCTCGCAGATGCACCCTGCTGCTGCTGTTGGTGCTGCTGCCCGGGCCGGCCTTGCTGCTGTTGCTGTTGCTTCGGCTGTGGCTGCCTGGAGCGCTGCTGCTGCGGGGCCTGCTGCTGCTGCCGCTGCACCGGCTGCTGCGACTGCTGAATGCGCTGGTGCAACTGCCGCAGCTCCTCACCCGACTTGCCGTTGCCGATGTTGCGGGCCGCCAGCTCCCACAGCTTCTTGCCCACCTTGGCGCCCTTGGCCGCCGTCACCCGCTCGATATGCGCGCCTATGGCGGTGAGGTAGAGCTTGGTGTTCTGCACGATGACGGACTTGTCGGTGATGGAGCCGTCCTGCAGCTTGCGCAGATTGCGGATGTCAGCCTGCGCTGGCTCGAGCAGCGTCCGCAGCTCGTCGCGGCCGACAGGCGCGTCTGCATGGGGCGTGGGGTAGGGTGCGAGACGGTGTGCAGAGGGGTCAACGTGGAGTTAAGAGATGCATTCGGACTTGCGATGCAACTGAAGACCCAGACGCCACTTCTCGGCTGCGAGCTGCCTGCGCGCCGAGCCCTACAGCGGCCCTGGCTGGTATAGCAGTGGCAGCGGTACCCCAGGCGGAACCCCGTACCTTCCCTCGTACCTGCTGCCTTGCCCTCAGCCTTGGCGTCCACTCGCACGCGCTTCTCCACCGGCCCCGCCCCTCTCTCTCCTCCGGCTGCCTTGCGCTTGCCGCCCGCTGTCGCAGCGGCCGCACCCGCCGCACCACCACCTGCGCTCGCACCGCCCCCAGTTCCTGCCGCGGCGGGCATGCTGCCTCCCGCGCCTCCATTCGCTAACGGCGGCGATCCCGCCTCCCGGGCAGCAGCAGCAGCAGCAGTCCCCGCCGCCGCCGGCTCCCGCTCCCTGCCAGAGGGCCCTACAGCGCCGCCATCGGTTCGGGCGTCCCTGTCCCGTTCCGCATGCTGTTGCTGCGGCGGCTGCTGTGGCTGTGACGGTGGGTGCTGTGCGGGATGCGGGTGGGCATGTGAGTGCGAGTGGGGTGGGTGGGAGTGCGGCGGCTGGGTCTTCTTGCGTGCTCCGCCGGCCCCCTGGCGCTTCACCGGCGGCGCGGTGGCGGCCTTGTGCGTGGCGTGCATCTTGCGGAGCAGACCCAGGGCGCGCGTCTCCAGGTGGGAGGCTGCGGAGGGGAGGACAGATTGGAGGGTGGCACGAAACCGAGGTTGATGAGGAATTCTGGCAGCGTCCTTCCCTGGCTTGTATCACGCCCTGTCGCACCGTTCCTGAGTTATCCGCATCCAGCCCCATCCCCACGTTTCATTGAACCGTAGTGCTAACCTGAACTCGTATACACCAGCCACATGCATCCCTCTCAACGCACTCCCCTCAACCCATCCCAACCATCCCAAGGCCCCCCAGCTTCTTCACCCACCTTTGGGCAGCCCCTCCTTCATCGCGCCTCCCGCGCCGCCCTCCTCCCTGGCCGCCGCGCCCCCCACCGCCCCCGCCAGCTTGTCCGCCAGGTGCGGGCGCAGCGCCTCGTCCGCCGCCACCTTGTCCCAGTGGCCCATGCCGTGCAGGTGCACACCCAGCAGCAGCAGCGCGTCCTCGCGGGGGGTCCAGTTGATGGCCTGCGGGGGAGCAGAGGCACCGGACGAGGCAAAGGGAGTTAGCATGGGGGCTAGCATGGGGGCTAGCAAGGGGGTTGGCGGGTACATATGGGGGCAGCAAGCATGCCGGAGTTCCTTTTGTATGCTTCGCGGTGCAGTTCGGTTTCTGGTAGAACCGGCAGTTACCGGTTCCGCCATGAGCAAGAGTACCCCGGCCCCCAGCCCTCAGTCCCCAGCCCCCTGCGTCCTGCCGCTGCCGTACCTTGCCCCACTTTGGCACGCTGAGCTGGCTGGTCGCGTCCAGCCTGAAGTGCTGCACCGCTGGGTCCCGCGCCGCCGCCACCTTGCGAGCCAGCAGGCGCAGGTGCGAGCAGGTGGCCAGCAGCTCGGCGGCCTTGACACTCACTCCGAAGAAGTCCAGGATGGCGTCCTGGGAGGAGGTGGAGGAGGTGGTGGACAAGGCCGGATGGTGGCGGGTGGTAGGTGAGGAGCCGGGAGATGGGTGCTAAGATTACCCTTGAGGGCAAGGCAAGACGTAACTCCCCTCTTCATGCAACACGCATGCGGTGTCGCATGCAGTCCCCCCCTCCCCCCTACCACCTTTGCATCCTCCGCCTGCTCCTCCGTGGTCTTCTGCACCGCTGCCTTGCACCCTTCCATCAGGCAGTGCCACAGCGACAGCCGCTGCCCCGCACTCGCCTCCTCCAGCGCCCGCCCCACCTCGCCAGCCATGTCAGCCAGCCGCTCAGGTCGCCCGTACCGCCGTACCGCGCGAACAAAGGCAGCTGCGTCGCGGCGGCTGAGGCTGCGCGCCTCGGGCTCCGTACCATCGTCCTTTAGGGAGGGAGGCGAAGAGGAAAGGTAAAGAGGGGGTGCAGCGTGGAGGGAAGGGACGTGTGTTGCGTGTGGTGGGAAGTCCGGCAGGGAGCAGATGTGAGCTGGGAGGGGGGGTGATGTTGCCATTGCCTGGAACCCTCCATCCGCCAGCCTTTGGCTACAATCCATCCTTCCACCTGACTTAAGAAACCCCCCTCCTCCTCACCTTGGCAGCGGGTTGCCCCTCCTCGTCCACCTCCACCACCCACTCGTCCACTCGCAGCGCCGCTCCGTCCACCGGCGGCCCCGGCTCCGCACCCGCGGAGGACACCCCCGGCCGCCGGCCCCCGCCACCCCCGCGGTGCCCCCCGCGCCCGCCCCTGCCCCCGCCTCCGCCCGCCTTGCGCCCCGGCCCCGCATGCGCCGCGTTGTCGTCGTCCGAGTCCGCTGTGCTCTGCTCCAACACCCGGCGAGCGTTGCGGGGCAGCAGATCCTCCTGAGGGGGCCAGACAGCATGATGGATGATGGTGCAGAGAGCTGTAACCTTGCATGCCCTCCGCCACAACCGAGCACATGCGCCGTACACCCGCAAACCACAGCCCTTCCTCCCTCCTGCCCGCCCCACCTCCTCCTCCTTGGGTCGCTCCGAGGGCGGGATGAGCTTGGACCAGAAGGCCGCGTCGTCCTCCTCGTTCTTGAAGGTGGCCACGTTGAAGGAGTTGAGCAGCTCCGCGGCGCCGCCCTCCTCGCCCGCGGCCCCCCCGCCGCCGCCGGCTCCCGCCAGCGCCCGCGTGTCCACCACCTCGGCGCGCTCCAGGATGGCGTCGATGTCGTCCTCGTACAGAGCGCAGCGGGCTCGCTCGGCGGAGTGGCTGTCGTCCTGCAGGGGGGGCCGGGAGAGGAGGAGGAGGAGGAGGAGGAGGACCAGAGAGGGGCGTGGTGAGCGGCGATAAGAGGCATGATGCAGGGCGGTAGGACTACAGGACTAAATAAGCCACCGTTCCATGGGAAGCTACTAGTACCGCCCTTTCACGAGATCACGACCCTCTCAGCGCCCCTCCAAAGATACACTGTAGACTCCTGCCGCATGTTCCATCAGCTGTGGCCTCCTCTTACGACCCTCCCCTCCCCTGACCTCCCCCCCCTGCCTCCTTACCTCTGCCTGCTGCTTGAACAGCTCTTCCGCCCCGAACTTCAGGATGGCCGCCAGCTCGTCCTTGCCAAACATCTGCTTGGCGGAGGCGCTGGCCTTGCCCGCTGCCGGGTCCAGGATGGTTCGCCCGCTGGTGTCCATGCGCTGGATGACCAGGTGGTCCAGCACCATCTTGCGCTTGGCGCGCTCCAGGATGTCCTCCTCCACACTGCAGCTGGTCACGAAGCTGGGGGGGGGGGGGCGGGGACGGATTGGGGGGGTCAGTTAGGTCTGCATGCAGCGGGAGGAGGAGTAACCGGCATTGTCGCAGCATTGTGCGTGTGTGCGGTGCACGCCCTCTCTTACCGGTAGATGTTGACGGTCTCGGTCTGGCCGATGCGGTGCGCGCGGGACATGGCCTGCGGGACGGAGGCGAGGGGTGACACACGAGGGGGTTAAGGAGGCCTAACACACGAGAAGAGAACCCCTTACCCGCACACCCCCATCTGTTCTTGCGGTAGTCCGCACCTTCAAGTACCTACAACCTTCAGCTACCGGACACATACACATACACCTGCAGCTCAGGTGTTTCAACTCACGCCCCGCAGTTGTTCAGCTGACCAGCTGTCCCTCCTCCTCCCCCCTTCCCCCCCTCACCTGCAGGTCGTTCTGCGGGTTCCAGTCGCTGTCGAATATGATCACCGTGTCCGCGGTGGCCAGGTTGATGCCCAGCCCGCCCGCGCGCGTGGACAGCAGGAACGCAAAGTCGGGCGAGTCGGGGCGGTTGAAGTGCTCCATGGCGGCGTGGCGCGAGGCGGCGGGCGTGGAGCCGTCCAGGCGCTGGTGCGGGAAGCCGCGCAGGCGCATGTAGTCGCTGATGATGTCCAGCACACGAACCATCTGGGGACAGAAGGGGGTGAGGAGGAGGGTGAGGAGGAGGGGGAGGAGGAGGACGCGTGTAAGGAGGGGGTGAGGGTTGGGAGTGGGGTGTTGCCAAGTCCGAAGCGAGCACCCTTCTTGGCTTCCCTCTCCTTGGCTTCCTCTCTCCTTTGTGTGTGACACGACCGCCTCTTTCCCTTGCCCATCCTCACCCACACCCTCCCCGCCCCCCACCTGGCTGAAAATGAGCACCCTATGCCCCGTCTGCTTGAGCCTCCGCAGCAGCTTGTCCAGCAGCACCATCTTGCCGCTGGTGACGATCAGGCGGTCCACCGCGGACTTGTCGTTCTCCGCCCCCCGGTAGTCCTCCTCCGCGCTCTCGAACAGGAAGGGGTGGTTGCAGCACTTCTTCAGCTCGCCGATGATGTTCAGCAGAGACACCTGCCCGCTGCGGGAGCCTGGGGGGCGCAGGGCGGGTGGGAAGGTTAGGTAAGTTGAGGGCGAGGAGGAGGGAGGCGGGTGGGAGGGAGATGCGAAAGAGATGAGGTGGAAGAAGCAGGGGTGGCATGGCAGGGCGGTAGATACTGTATACGATGATGGAGGTGCAGCTGTAAAACCAGTGAGGCTGCATGAGGGCGTGTGCAGACGGAATTGGTGTGGATTGGCGATCATGGTGTCATGCGCGGCACCACAGCAGCTGTACGTGTGCGCTACCCAGTGCCCAGCGCTCACTCACTCTTGTTGAGCTCCTTGAAGTTGCGCGTGAGGATCCACTTGTAGTACTGCTTCTGCAGCGGCGTCATGTCCACCCGCAGGATGCGCTCGTTCTTGGGCGGCAGCGACTTCTCCACGTCCTTGATCACGCGGCGCAGCAGGTGCGGACGCAGCACGCCGTGCAGACCCGACACGCTGTCAGCCTGGGCGGCGGGGTACGGCACGGCACGCCATGGCACGGAGGAAGGAGGAGGCAGGTTCACGTCAGCACCGCGGCGGAAAGGACACGGCAATGCCCAGCTGGTAGTCGACACAGCGGTTCAGGTGCATGTAACAGCATGTAATCCGTACCGCAGCTGCGGCCGAACTCCTCGTCCTAAACCCTATCCTACTGGTCGGTCCTCCAGTGTAACTCGATCGCGTCCCCCCCTCCCCCCCTACCGTTTGCAGCGAGTACTCCTGCTCGAAGCTTTCGCAGGTAGGGAACTTGTGTGGCTCCAGGAAGTGCAGCAGCGCCCACAGCTCCTTGAGGCTGTTCTGCAGCGGGGTGCCCGTCACAAGCAGCTTGTTCTTGAAGTGCCACTCCATCAGCTCCTGTGGGGGGGGGGAGGCGGGGGAGGAGGGAAGAAGAGTCAGACCATAGCGTCCATAGATTGGTCGCAGTAAGGGGGTTGTAAGGAATGTGATGCAACTTGAGTCCCGGAGGGAGGGCAGCGTGCAAGACCCCCACACGTACCCAGGTACCCAGGTGCGCCCCCAACCCACCCCCCTCCGCACCTGGTAGAGAGCCGACTCCGCGTTCTTGAGGCGGTGCGCCTCGTCCACCAGCAGGTAGGCCCACTTGATGCGGGACAGGATCTGGGGGGGGGAGAGGGGAGTAGGGAGGGGGAGTCGGGGGGGGGGGGTAGGGAGGTGTGGGTGCGGTGGGGTAGCAGGAGCCCATGAGGTCGGCAAGGGGTTGCTAAATCCCCCGGCCCCCGGCTTGTAAGCCCCTTCCCTTCATCCGCTTCTCATATGGCAACTCCTCCGCAACTCGTTACCCCTTGCCTCACTGCTGCATGCACCCTGGCAGCCTGCACAGCACCCTCCTCTCTCCTCCTCTGGAGTCATGCCACACGGTTAGCCGCCGGTAAGCCCTTCCTTCCCCTTTACCCCCTCCCCTCCTCACCGGCGCGTCCTTGAGGATGAGCTCGTACGTGGTCAGCAGCACCTCGAACTTGTGCGGCCGCGCTGCCCGGTGGTGGGCGGCCGGCTCGCACTCGTACGCCCGCAGCACCTCCCGCGACCGCGAGTCGCCCACATACACCACCGCGTTCACAAAGGGCACCCAGCGCCGGAACTCGCGGATCCAGTTGGGCACGGTGGACAGCGGGACCACCACCAGGAAGGGGCCGCGCACCTGCAGCGTCTCAGCAAGGTAGCCCACGAAGGAGACGCACTGCGGGGGGGGGCATGGAGGGCGGGATGAGGGGGAGGGGGGGGGGTTTAGGTTAAGTGAGCCGTAGTATACCGGGGGGGAGGGGTTGAGGGGGAGGAGGACGTGGGTAAGAGATGTGCTGCAGGGGGTTTGGCTGCACTCTGGGTATGGAGGCGGGAAGGGAAGAAGGAGGAGAGGGCGGAAAACGTGGCGCAGGAGCGGCACTGCGACAGGAGCTTGTCTCGAGCGACGTGAGCGCGTGATACTACCGGCTTGCGGAGGATCTAGTCCGAGGGGACAATAAAAGGCCCCGTGCCGCCTCCACCCCCCCCCCCCACCTGCACCGTCTTCCCCAGCCCCATCTCGTCCGCCAGGATGATGTTGCGGTCCTCCGACCAGCTGTAGATCATCCAGTTGAGGCTCTCCATCTGGTAGTCGCGCAGCGTGCCGCCTGGGGGGGGAGGAGGGGGAGGGAGGGGGGCGGGAAGGAGGAGAGGAGAGGTGTAACACGGGTGGGCAGAGCAGCCGCCCGACACACAGGTGTGACCTGTGCGTAATCCGCCTGACCAGAGCGCCTAACTTTCCACTGCCACCATCACCGCACCTACACTACACTGGACACGACCTCATGGACACGACCTGAACACTGACGAGGCCCGCCTCTACGGTGGAGCCACGCCTGTCCCAGCCTGTCCCAACAGGCCACCAACCCCCCCTTCCTCCCTCCCTCCCCTCCCCCCCTTCCAACGCACCCATGAGGTATTCCGGCTGCTGCTCCAGCGCCCGCGTGCCCTTGATCTTGAACTGCTTGCGGGTGGTGTCCACGGAGCGACCCGGCTCCAGCAGCCGCTGCTCGCGCTGCAGGTACTGGTCGATCTGGGCGCTGCCGCCTGCAGGGAGGGGGGCGGGGGCGTGCGTTAAGAAAACGAACGGGTGTGGGGTGGGGGGCGTGTGGAGTGTATGGAGGTACTCTTGACCGACACACAGCCCCAGGATGGGGAGATGAGATGAGGTGATGAGGGCACGGCCAGAGCAAGGATACCGTCACTACCGGTACTAGCAAGGTGATGTGGCGGTAAGGCAGCCCGTAAATGCCGCAATCCCCCTTCCCTAGCCGAAATTGAAACCACAACGTTAACACGCCACCGCCTTCCAAACCCCCGCACCCACCCACCCACCCCACCCACCTGCTTTGATGACGTCCTCCACCGCCTCCCATGTGCACTCCGCGTACGGCAGCCCCTCCCACTTGACCAGGTACTTGGTGGCCGTCACCATCTCGCCCTCGCCCGCCGCCTCGCGCTCGCGGCGGCGCTGCCCCGGCGGCCCCACGCTGCCCCGCCCGCCCGCCGCCTCCGCCTCCTCGTCCTCGCTGCGCACCGGCAGGCTGACCTGCTTCTCAGCCATCACACGCTCGACCTGCGGGGACGGGGGAGGAGGAGGGGGTGAAGAAGACCGGAGGATGCGAAGGGAGCGGAGGGTGAGGAGGGAAACGGCCAAGAGGGGGGGGGTTAATTTGGAAACAGAATCCGCATTAGGCTGGATAGTTGGGTTAGCATATAATTGTAGTTGTTGTATAGGTAGTAGCGGGGGGGGGGTGGATGCCATGGGAGGCACGCTCGCTTGTGTCACCGGTGGGTTGAGGAGGTAGTGACAAATGAAGGACACGCGGGGTGGTGAAGCGGGTACGTAGGCTGTAAGAAGTAGAGGTGGTGTCTATGGAATGGACATGATCTTGGCATGTAAGCCCGGCAGTACTGGCTATTATACCTATCATAACCCTGGCTGTGGCTTGCTGCTCCCTGATTCACAACTAGGAAGCCGAGCCCCAGCTGTGGGTGTGCTGTATGGTCATGGCTCTATCGGCATCACCTCCATGCAGCCTCCCTGTAAGCTACTTGATGACAACTCCTTAGGTGGAAGTCGGCATGCTGCGCATCCTCACACTGTCACACATGTTGTGTGAAATTCCCCAGAGCACCTGCCCATCCCCACCCAGCAGGGCCCGCCCGCCCGCCTGCCTGCCTGTATACCCAGGCTACCCACCCGCACAGTCGCCCCCCCCCCGCACCTGCATGTGCTGCTGGTTGAGCTGCGCCTCCATCTCCCGCTCCACGTCCTGCATCTCCTGCTCCTCCCGGCTGAAGTAGCCGCGCCCCGCCTCCACCTCGTCCACCTGGGCGACAGCAGCAGCAGCAGCAGCGGGGGAGGCAGGCAGTGGCGGGTTGGAGTGAGTGGCCTGACCCAGCGGCTTCGTGTCTTGTAGGCTCATGGCGCCGAAAGGGCTTCCCCAGAAGGCTAGTTGGTAAGCCGGGATGCCCCGGTGGTTGCAATGCGGTAAACCTTTTGTGCGTGCGTGCAAAAGGGCGGTTGTGTGCAGAGACGCTAAGCGTCTGCGCAAATGCCCTATTGCAGCATTCCGAGGTGTCCTACGAGCCATCATGGAAGCCTAATGACCTCTTGGCAATCATATGCACTGCTTGGGATCCCCACATCGTGCCATGCCCTATCCCAGCACCCCAGTGTGTAACGTATCGTATACCTTCTTGATGTAGTTGAGCACTCGCTTGTAGCCCCGCAGCTGCTCCAGGGCCGCCCGGGAGTCCCAGCTGCAGTGGATGTAGCTGTAGAGCTTCCACTTGATGTAGAACTCCCGACTGGCCCATGGGTCGCCGGGAACTGCCGGCAGCGTCTCCGATTCCCTGCAAACCAAACCCGGCGCCAACCGTGTCCTTTACGCCTTCCAACGCGTGTGAAGGAGTACATACGCCGATTAACCCGGAGCATTTAGACCCCACTGCCGCACAAGGCCGCCCCAATCCGAATACCGGTACCTTCAGCCACGCAGGTAGCCCCCGCCTGTTCCCGCCCTGTTCCCGCCCGCTCTCACCTATGCGCCAGGACCTTCTCCACCTCGTCCTCCACCTCATCCTCGTCAGGGTCCTCAAACGCAGACAAGGCCTCCCGCACCTTCCCAGCGGAGCCGCCGCGCCCTCCACGTCCCCCGCCGCCACCCCCCTCCTCGTCATCATCATCCTCGTCATCACTCTCCGCGTACGACACCTTGGCGACACTGCGCTGGCTAGTACGGCAGGGGGGCGCGCGGCGGCGGTTGGAGGCGGCGGCGCCCCCCGCGCGGCTGCTGGGCGGTGGTGGTGCGGAGGTTTGTCGTGAGGCGGAGCCAGCGCGACGGCCGCCACGGGGGCTCACTGCGCGCTCCTCAAAGCTGGAGGCGGCAACCTGGTAGTGTGTGATCCCGAGGAGGAGTTCGTGTGATGCGATACGGCTCATGGCGATGCTAGTCGTTAGTATGGTGTCACTACTGCCAGGACGCGCGTGCGTTCATAATTGGGAAGTGCTGTGCGTAAGTAGTTAGGCAGCTGTCAACCGTGCAGGCGTTATATTAAAATATGTGGAAGGCTTTCCACGCTGCTGCTTCCGCTGCGCCTGCTCCTGCTGCTGGCTGGAAGCAAGGGCCCCTCCCGCAGCGCACCTTGCGAGGCCGAGCACGCAGCCCGTTAATCTCCCGGTCTATGGCCCGCGCTATCTCCTCGTCGTCATCCTCCGTCACCGAGTCCTGCAGACCGGTGGCAGGGGCGGAGTGGGTCGTGCCGGTGGCAGGGAGGGCAAGGAACCACGTGCTCTGCAACATGCTAATGACAGGGCCTACACTCTACACACCGGTACCACTTTTGCGGCGAAGGCTTTAAACGGTGGCGCTTCCCAAGCCAACGCGTCTTTGGACCGTACGGCACTCAACCTGCCATGTCAGCCCCGTGACAGTATCCCCTGCCAATAGGCGTGCTTCCTGCTGTGCCCACCCAGCCAAGCGAAAATGGGTCTCGCAAGGTTCCCACACACCTTCAGACGCGCTTTGGCCTGCTGTGCCGCCTGCCGCCGGGGCCGCGACGCTGCCGCTGCTGCCCTAGATCGCCGCGCCCGGGGAGCGTAATCCTCCTCCTCATCGTCCTCCATGTCCTCCTCCTCCTCATCATCATCGTCCTCCTCCTCTTCGTCATCATCGTCCGCCTCCTCCTCCTCATCGTCATCGTCTATCCCGCCATCCTCATCCGACTCATCCTTGTACTGCAAGGGCGTAAGAACCCCGGTCCGGAATGGGCGGGGAGCGGGGGGAAGAAGTGGGCGCAAAGGGGAAGGGGGAAACGTGCCAAACCCCAGCGCTTGCAGGGGAAACCCCAAGGAACCCGCCACGCCACAGCTAAGGATTCATAAGCCGGCCCTTCCCCCTGGAAAGCGACGCCGCCCCCTGACAGCGTGGCGGCTGGGTTCTGCTAGCCGCGAAGGGGCTCATGAGGTCCCTGCGCCCCCCTGGGCATCGCCACGCCGCTCACCGACTTAGTGCTGCGCGTGCTGCGACGTGTGGTGCGTGTGGCCACGGCAGGCCTGCGGCGGGGTGGCGCCTCCTCTGATCCGTCGTAGTCCTCGTCGTCGTCGTCGTCCTCCACCCCGTCATCCCCATCATCTGGTGGGGGAGGAGACAGCAGCAGGATCAGAGCATCGTAACCCTAGACTTCCGTACGGGCTAGCTTGGGTTTCATCCGCCCCGGGGCCCTCCTCGGGAGTCAGCGCGCGACTCCGTATGCAGCCGCCTACAGTGACAACGCTCGGCACGAGGCGAGGCGAGAACCACCTGATTGGATTTACCTGCTATGTAGTCTTCGTCACGGTCGTCTTCGTCCCTGCGTTGACAGAACCGTGAAAAGGGGTTGCGATGATATCGACTATAGCGACACAAGCTCGGGTACTCAAGCGCAAAGCAACAAGGGAGCACGTCTTAGTCATAGAGCCTTTCCGTCAACACCTTTACACGAAAGGCAAGCTTGCAAGACGCCGAGGTATACTGACGCCAAGTGGGGCCTCGGAAAAGCAGCAGATGCAACAACTTCAGCCTAAACAGCACAAACATATGCAAGGATCCCAAATAACACGAGCCCTTACGCGGCTGGGTCCTCGTATGCTTCCTCATCCGACGCCATTGCGCCCAGCACTTCCGATGGATAGGCTGCCCGACGTTATTGCATCGGTAACCTATACTGTGTTAATGAAAGCTTCCCGTCCTGCGCCGCTACATTTGGTTCTTCAGTATGCAATGTAACTGTCTTGCTCGCAAAGGGAATGCTGTAGATCTATGATAGCTTGTGGGTGTATTGGATTGAACTATAATCTATCTATATGAAAACATGCGAAGCGGTACGTTACATGGCACATTGCACGGGCGGGCCTGCCTACACAGTTGCAGTGCCGCACACATCACCTTCAACAGACAGCGATTTCATGCCTTGGGAAATATTTGGCAACATGATGCATATTAGACCAGCTTTTCACTGTCATGGAAACACACATTCCGGCTTAACATCCCTCGTGCACAACCCTTGCACATGCGCCGAAACCCCAGCAGCAGGCTACCCGCTGCTGCAAGCCTTACCAACCTTCGGAGTGGCCCTAAGAAGCTGTTGTACTCGTTGGCAACACCAATTCGACGTATTCCCTGTCTTGATTCCTTCGAAAGAGCGAGCCCTTTAAGAGGCACCTAGCCGTGAGGACGCACATCCAAAATCCAAGCATGGTGACAGATGCGCATGCAAACATGCGCTGCCACCCGACGCGACTCCCAACCCAGCCCCCAACCAGCGATCCGAGCCCGTAGCCAGCTCCAAAGTAGAGACCCTGGAATGCTCCCTGCAGGGATCGAAGCGGTGGGAAGCTCAAGTTCAGGGTGGGAGAGCGTAGTAGGCGTGAAACGAAAGGAAGACCACAAGCTTCAATCCATGTGCGAAATAGTAGGACATCAGCCGTACATGTCATTTAGAATGCCAGTGCGATGCCCTACCACACCCCCACGTCCAACCGCACGCCTACTCCCCCCTAACCCCACCCTCCACCTCCCCGCTCCGCCCCGCCTCCGCCCCCACCTGCAACGTCGCCGCCAGACCCGGCGGCGCCAGCACCTTGCAGTTTACCGTGCCCGCGCCCCAGCCGCACGCGAACGTCACCCCATGCAGCACCTCCACCGGCAGCACCCACAGCACGCTGCCCGCCGCCGGGAGCGCCGCATACAGCGCCAGCCGCAGCACGTACACGGCCGCCACCAGGTCCAGTACGGCAGTGACGCCCCAGCGGTCCAGCAGCCGGTCCTGCAGCTGGAAGGCGGGCACCTCGGCGGCGCAGGTTATCTGGAAGGGGCGGGGGTGGGAAGGGGAGGGATGCAAAGGCGGCAGGAAGAGGTGCAGATGCCGGGATTTGGGTCGAATGCGCAATTGGGCCGAGCATGTGCACGAGCAGCGGGGCGCGGGGCCGTACCGTGAGGGTGAGGCCCATGAGCGTCTCCGAGGCTCCCATCTCCTTCAGGTAGAGGAACCTGATACCGGTGCACCACACGCAGCATGAGATTGCAGCAGGTAAAGGGTAGACACACGCACGTTTGCTGGCCGCATGTGCTAGTTGGCCAGACAGCTACGCACACCTAGATAGAAGACCGAAGAAGGCCCGAACCCGCGCGAGGAGAAAAGAACAAGCAGGTGTGGACGATTGAGTTCTACCATGGGCTGGGCGGCGCGTGCTTGTTTGACTAATGCACCTATCACGCCTATTCCCCAAGCAGAATTCGCTTCCATGCACTCACAGGAACGAGTCGATGGTTCCGAAGCCGTATCCCATGGCGAGTGTGGTCACGAAGAACACCAGCACCTCCGGCCGCCGTATCAACTGCCACAACTGCCGCCAGAACCCCTCTTCACCACCACCCTGTACGACAACAGTGTCGCCGCTGCTGCCCCCGCCACCACCTTTACCGTCCCCGTCGCAGCCACCTGCTGCTGCGTTCCTGCCCTTGGCCCCATGGCTACTGCAGCTGCCATCTCCGCCATTAACCGCGTGTACCACATGACGATCAGCCTCCTCGTCACGGCCGCCGCCAATGACCCACGGGTCGTTTCGCCTTTCCTCCTCCTCCGCACCCTGGGTTGCCGTACCACTGCAGCCGGTCCCGCTGCGGTACGACACGTCATGAAGCTCCTTCAGCTCCTTCTCGGACCGTGCGGCCTTCATAAGCGGCTTAGCCTCAGCTTCAAGATCCGTACGACAATCCGCAATATCCTCGCTGCCGCCACTGTCGCTGCTTCTGCGGTGGTCATGGCGTGGGGCTGGGCGCCGTGACGTGTGCAGGCGCGCCCCATGGAAGAGGCAGGGCAGCGAGAGGATGGCGCTGCTGTAGAACGCCCAGACGAGGCCGAAGTTGGTGATCAGCCAGCCTGAGACGGTGGAGAAGGCGCCCCAGCCCACCGCGCCCCACAGCCGGAACTTGCCGTAGTCAGAGTCAGGGCCCACGGAGACGGAGGCGGCGAAGTACCAGAGGTACCATGCCTTGGCGTTGAGGGCGGGGTCGAGCGGCGGGAGGCGCAGGCGGAGGCGGGGGAGCATGGGGGCTGTGTAGGGTGGGGTGTAGGGTGCGGTGGGGTGGGGTGGGTGCTGGCGGGAGCTGCCGGATAGGGCTCGTGGCTGCGATTACACTTATTGCAGTAGGGGGGGCGCGGGTGCGTGCTCCCTGTGCTGTGGTGGGCTGCTAGCGTTGGCACGGCCGACAGTGGGTATAACGCACAAGGCCTGCCGCAGCTATCCTGCAGACGCCACGGAGGGCAGCCGACGTGGCGGTGGCGACAGGCACCGCTAGATCCAACCTTTAGCTAATCGTATATCAACAGTCAAAGCCTAGCATATACGCGAGCGGGTCCTTAATTGCGTGTGTTACGTTTCCACCGGCCAAGGGTTCGCCAAGTTTGACAGCGCTTACTCCATGGCAGTTATGTTGATCAAACGCTCAGTGCACTGGTAATGAAACAGTTCAATTTGTCGGCATTGCTTTCAGACGCGTCGTTAAAAAATCAACGGCAACACGACGGCATTGATGAGTCAGAAACAACCTCCAAGCCCAGTTATAAGAAGAAGGAAACATACAGATGAAACGCGAATAGAGGCTATGGAAGGGCAATGTCCTTCCTAGGTACCTCGCCCGATGGGCGACTGTCCGCTTGCATTCTCGCCCGACATGAACTCCAGGGTCCAGGCCCAACGTAACCCACATCGTGACCCAATGAGGTGCAGCGCTAGTAACTCTGTGCAAAATCTGTAGATTTTGAAGTCACGCGTTTAATATTTCGCCCAGGGACTGCTACTGTACGATGATAAATTTTAGCTCCGGAACCGTCCAGGAAGGATAGCACGAAAACAAGCGAAACCAATTGGAAACGTCGATATATGGCAAGGGGTATGAACGTATGAAAAGAGCAACGCCACATACGAATAGTATGTGGAGAACGACGTCGGAAGGTGCGTGCCGAGCTTTGGACACGACAGCAGGGAAGCTCACGACACACAATGCAAGGCCGAGTGTAGGCAATTTGGTTTAAGGCGGCGCGGAGGAAGGGCAGTACGCCGGAAACGTGAATGGGCAGGGAAGGCTTGTTGCTGCCTGAGAAGCGGCACAGAGGAACGTGAAACACAAGAGAGCATTGCAGTATTGTACACCTGAATAGCACAAAGGTGTTATGTAACAACATTAACGGATGCGTGAGGTGCACTCGTCATCCAAGCGCATGCTCATAACACTGACACGTTGCAAATGCTTTTTTCAATATTATGTCAACAAGAGCGGACGAGCATTAAACGAAAACGAATAGTCGCACGGAGAGCTGGTCGCCGACGTTAGAGGTAATCAGGTCAAGCTTGGCAATGCCATTAGCTGAGAAGTGTGCACCTTGCGCTGCGAAGGCTTCCCACCCTAGTCCCCACAGCGCTGTCTGCTTTGGAACAGATCTGTCAGGACGCGACCTCCGCAATATGCACGAGGCTATGGCTTCCTACATGCCTGGTGCAGCAACCCCGCGGTTCCCCCCCCCCCCAACCCCATCAACTACAGCTTCACGAGGCCGGCACTCCCCGTGTTTACGCACGCATCGTCCTCGTCGACCCCATCCGCAACGACCTCCTTACTGACACCCCCATCAAACCCGGTGTCCCACCCCCTTACCTCCGCCTACCCCAAAACATGCTACCCTCCCCTGAAGACACTGCTCGGCTTTCCACCCTAACTCCGGACCAGGAACAGCCCTTCCTCATCCTTGCATACACCCTGCTTGCTGAGCTCCGGCATGGTCTACAACCTCCCCGGAGCTTGCTTGTCACTGGCGAGGCAGGCAGTGGCAAGAGCCAGTGCATCCTTGCACTTCTCTGGTTTGCTTTCCAGCACGATGCCAGCGACCCCTTTGCTGTCGTCAGCTACACTTGGCGTGCTGCCCTCCAGGTGCGCTTCCTCACTCCCTGCAAGCTTGCACTGCTTCCCCTGCCCCCCACTCCCTGTACGCTCGCTGACATGCCTTCCATCTCATCCGCGGCCTCCTACAGATCACAACTGACGCCAACGTTGGGGTCAGCACCACTACATTCTTCGCTCTGGGGGGCAGCCGAGGCGGCTTCAGCTACGCTGCTCAAGAGCGCGTCCAAGAACACCTCAGAGGCGTCCGCTTTGTCGCTAATCTCCACTTTGTCACAGCCGGCTATCCTCGTCAGCTACCAATGCCCCAGCAACCGCCCATGCACTGGGGTGCTGCTGACGCCACACGCCTTCTCCAAGACGCAACAGCCCTGCAACGCATTGCTGCGACTGGCGACCCTGCAGCAGGGTTGCGCGCTCTCCAAGCTGTGCTTCTATCCGCAAGTGCTTGCAACCTCAGTGACCCTAACCATGCACTTCTGGTTGCTGGGCGTGCTGCGTGGCACGCCATGCAGCTCGCCTTCATCCTGCGTCACCAGCACCGACAAACAAGCGATGCAGATGGTGACAAGCTCCGAAGATATGCGGCTCTCTTTGATGGCACCGGCGCCGTTGGCGGCGCTGCCCTCCAACAACAGCTCCTCGAAATGTGCCACGACCTCAATGCTACGGTTCCCGTACCTGACAGCCTACACCACCTCCCTGACCCACGGGTCATTGTCCTTCGGCACTCGGTACAGCTCCCCCTCAACGTACGCCTCGCCCTCATTCACGCGCAACAGCATAACCAGCCCGCTTATGTCTGGCGGAGCCAGGACGTTGCAGCTGATGGCTCCCCTTTATCTTCCACCACCCTCGGTCACCTCGAAACCACCTTCAACGCTAGCATT